GGTTCTAAAACTCTGATGTCTTGGGGTTTGAGTTTGAAGCTAACCTCGGCTACGTAGTATGTTACAGAACCTGAACCCTGTTCTCAACTCTCAACTCCCCAAAGGCACTTATAGGAAGGGGATGTAGCTCTATGGCAGAGTGCTTGCCAGGCAATCAAGGTCCCCAGGTTAAATCTCTAGGACCACAAAAAAGGTATTATTATTGTTTATTATTATTCATTAAACATATAAAAAAGAGCTTCTATGATAATCTCATAGGCTCGCTGAGTTCTCACACATTGCATACTTTTGGAGTAGGAAACAGAACAAGTGCCAGATGGGGTGGCACATGCCTGGAATCCTAACTGTTGGGAGATGAAGACAAGAGGATCAAGAGTTCAAGGCCCAGGCTGGCTATATGGCTAATCAGGTAAAAGTTCTTCCTGAGCAAGCTTGATGACCTGAGTTAAGTCTCAGAATCCATGTCAAAGTAGAAAGAGAGAACAGACTCTACAAACTGTCCTGTGACCCACACAAGAACACTGTGGCATGTGTGTACCTGCACTCATACACATATCCTGTGCAAAGCTGAAAGAAGAGGTCAATGCCAAAGCCAACCTGGGCTACATAGCAAGTCCAAGGCTAGTGGGGGCAGGACACCTTGTCTTAAGCCACAAAAGAAAAAGAACATATAACCTCTTGTCAGAGCATCTTGCTTTATTACTCCCCCACCCAGTCACCACTTTTTCCTATGAATACTCAAATACCCACTATCTTTTTTCTATTCCTTTGGTTTTGTTTGTTTGTTTTTGAGGCAGCATTTCTTTTGTGTAGCCTTGGCTATGTAGATCAGTCTGGTCTTGAACTCACAGAGATTCACTTGCTTCTGCTTCCTGAGTGCTGGGATTAAAGGCATGTGCCACCCCTGTCTGGCTTCTTTAATTTTAAATTTTAATTATTATTCTCTCTCTCTCCCCCCCCTCTGTCTCTCTCTCTCTCTCTCTCTCTCTCTCTCTCTCTCTCTCTCTCTCTCTCTCTCTCTGTGTGTGTGTGTGTGTGTGTGTGTGTGTGTGTGTGTGTGTGTGTGTATGTGTTTTAGTGGTAACTGAACCCAGGGCCTTGTGCATGTTGGGCAAGAAAGAAAAACTGAGCTCCTGCTCAGACTCTTTTTGCTATTGTTTTCAGACAGTATTTCACAATGTAGCCCTTGGCTGGCTAGGAACTCACTATATAGACAAGGCTGGCCTTGAACTTACAGATATCTGCCTGCGTCTGCCTCTTGAGTCCTGGGATCAAGCCCAGCCACAGACCTCCTTTTATTTTTTTTGAGACAGGCTCTTAGTAAATTCCCTAAGCTAGCCTATAATTTACTCTATAACCCAGGCAAGTTTCGAACTTTTATTCCTCCTGCCTTTGCCTTGCTAGGATTACAGGCCTGTGCCACCAGGCCCAACCTCTGAGTTCTTATGTTAGTTTCAAAAGTTTTTACTTAAAGAAATTAATGACACTGGGGAGGCAGAGGCTGGCGGATCTCTGTGAGTTCGAGGCCAGCCTGGTCTACAGAGCGAGTTCCAGGACAGCCTCCAAAAAATACGGAGAAACCCTGTCTTGAAAAAACCAAAAAAGAAATTAATGAAATAACAGTATGGAGTGTTTTGTGATTTGTTTTTGCTTGATTAAATGATTGTGAGATTCCAGGCCGGGAGTTGGTGGAGCACACCTTTAATCCCAGCACTCGGGAGGCAGAAGCAGGCAGATCTCTGTGAGTTGGAGCCCAGCCTGGTCTACCGAGCAAGTTCCAGGACAGCCTCCAAAACAATACAGAGAAACCCTGCCTCAAAAAAAAAAAAAAAAAAAAAAAAAAAAAAGATTGTGAGATTCCTTTCTGTTGTGCATTGGCATAGATTGTTCATTCCCAAGTGTGTGAAGATACCATAGTTGACTGGCATTTGGGTATTTTCCAGTTTGGAGTTGTTATGAATCATAAGAATACCTGGACATATCTTCTGGTGAACACATGTACTGGTTTTTTAAAATTTATATTTCTAGGCAAGGAATTTCTGATGTATATATTGTTTTACCAGATACTGCCAAAAATGTTCTCCAAAGTGGCTGTAGCAATTTATACTCCCAACAACAGTATGAGGTTCTAGTTGCACTTACGCCAGATTCCATGGGGAATTTGCCAGGAAACAAATAACCACCACTGGGAATCAGAGATGGGTTTTCTCAACCACAGTATAATGAAAATAAAAAAATATAAACATAGAAAAAGCCAGCCATGGCAGAGACTGTCCTTATCTTTTTAAGGACTTATTTATGTGTATGGGAATTTTGCCTGCATATATGTCTGTGCACCAGGTTTATGTGGTACTTGTAGAGGCTAGAAAAGGACATCCACTCCCCTGGAACTAGAGCACAGTAGTTAGCTGCCATGCTACTTCTGGGAGTCACACTTGGAAGAGCAGACAGTGGTCTTAAACCAGAGCAAGCTCTCCAGCTCTCTTTTATTTTTTTGAAACAAGATCTCACGATTTAGCCCAGTTTTGACTCAAACTTCCAGTAATTCTTCTGCTTCAGGCTCCCGAGTGCTGGGGTTATAGGTATATGCTCCCACATTCAGCACTAGTCCTTACCTGGCATCCTTTAGACAGGATGTAGTGTCCTGATAGCGCCCTGGCTCCCAAAGTGTTTTGTTTTGTTTATTCACTTATTATTTATTTTGAGATAGGATCTCACTATGTAGCCCTGACTGGGTCTGGGTATCATAAGGACCATCTGCCCTAAGTGCTGGGGTTAAAGGTGTATACCGTACACAGCCATGCCAGGTCAAGGTCCTCTCAACAAGCACTCTATTATATGGAGAGTGGCAGAGCCCCTAAGGCCTGTGCCACCAGGCCTGACCCAGGACTTGGAGGTTCCTGCTGGACATGGTTAGTTGTTAGGTAATGAGGACCAGATGCACTCCAAACTGTTAAAAGCTCCCTCTATTACTTCCCAGGGGGTCTTTGCCGGAACTCACAACTACACAACTACAGATCCACAGGTACCTGAAGCAGCTGGAGGGACATTCTAGCTGGACCTACAGATGTTTTTAGGGTGAATCCAGAGGTCCTCTGTGAGAACAAGCTGTCTCTTCTTGTAGGAGAGAAGAGAATGGATTTTCTGTAGACCAAGCACTAAAGGGTGAAATTCATGGGATTCAATGCAGCCTTTTCCAGGAAAGTGCATCCCTGCAGCACACATTCGGTGTTCAAAGGAATCATGCTTGAAATAGAGTGGGAAGAAACTCACATTCTCAAAGTATTTCCCAGTAGACCTAGTCAATTCTCAAATAATCCTGTATACCCACTTTCCCCCAGCTCTCTGTCTTTAGACCAACTTCTTCTTGGGGATAATCACTGAGATTTCTCTTTTCTTTGGGGACAAGGCTAGAGCTCAAGACTATTTTGAAAATGCCTAAGAAACCCTCACTCGGCCACTTCACAGCACAAACAAAATGAAGTTGCTCACAGCTAATGGTTAACGCAGAATGAGAACCCAAAGTCTTCTCAAATCCTAAGGGTGAATGAAACAATATGGTACATTTATATATTCGAGATAAATAGTATTATCCTATTTTAAAGAGACGAGGAAACCGAGGCTTGAAAGAGTTTAAATAACTTTACTCAAGTTCACAGAGAACTAAGTCTGAACTATTCAAGACTTTCCCACCAGACCTCAATTCCCAAGGTCAGCAGATATATTTACCAAATAGAGTGTCCGCAAGTGTGCCAGTCCCTGGATACAAAACAGTGAACAAGCAGACAGGTTTCTTGTCCTCATGCAGTTCACACCCTCGCTACAGAGGCAGGCTGGGGAAGGGAGGCCTCATTCATCTCATCTACACTGCAGGCTCTCTCACACGCTGGTGAGTCATTCATATGGGCAGCCCCCCCACCCCCACCCCCGAAATTGAAAGGAGCCTTAAGCAGGGTCGCGGTAAAGGGGATTAATAGAGAGAGAGGCACATTCTTGTTTCTGAAGGATTTCCCTCAAAAGAGGAGAAATAATCTAAGTCTTAAAAACCATTCTTAAAAATACCCGGGTTCCTGGGTAAGCAGGTGGGCGTGGAGGGAGCAGCAATGAGGTGTGCGGCGAACCCTCAGCCAGCCACGACTCACTTGCCAGAGGAATAGACAAGAGGGCGGTGTAGGACCCCGGAGAGCGAAGCCCCTAGATCTCTGCCTCGCAGCGGCCAGGGGTTCGCGGGGGACCCCGCCCCCTCCCCAGGCAGTACGGGCAATGAATGGGCAACTCGGGTTCTCCAGCAATCGCGGGCAGCCCTCCCCCCGACCGCGGTCTCCCCGCGCTGCTGCCGTCACAGGGCGGGGAGCCGAGGACCGCGAAGCAAACAAGCCCCAGGGCGTCTGCTTGACCCTGGGCGAGGGCGCTGCCCCGGGCGCCGAGAGGGGCGTGAGGCACGGCTCGCACAGGACCCCGCCCCCGCCTGGCCCCCTCCCGGTGGGCTGGCGGCCGCGCGCGTGGGAGCCGCGACCCCTCTGCTCCTGGGGTAGCGCGGGAGGTTGCGAGCCCCTGAGTTCTTGCCCCCCGACCGTACCTCCTTTTTCACGTTCCACAGCAGCTTTTCTTTGACTGCGTCCTCTGCGCTGCCCATGGTGCGGCAGGCAGGTGGCGGGCAGGCGGCGCCAAGCGGCCCCCCGGTCCCCCGCGTGCCCTCGCCGCCTCCGCGCCTACCGCCTCAGCGCCCCACGCGTGAGGCGGAGCCCCCGCCTGCCGCGCTCCCCTCCTGCCGCCGCCGCAGCCACTGCCCGGTGCTCAGCTCCGCAGCCATCTTCCGAGCCCCGCAGACGTCAGGCAGCAGGCCCGGCCCCTTCCCACAGCCGGCAGGGAGGGGGTGTGTGCGCCGCGACTGGGGAGGGGGGGTCAGGGCGGGTGCGGACGCCTGGGGGTGTCGGTCCCGGGCGCGCGCCGCAGGGGCGGTTGTCATGGCGACGGGCAGGCTCCCGCCCCGAGGGCGCGGACCCGCATTGTGAGCGCTGGGAAGCCAGCTCTTCGCCAGGCGCTGCGGAGCAGGCGGACTTGTGGAAATGTGCTTGTTGTCCGGGCCGGCCTCAACCTCCGTGACTGCTCCCGACTTCTGGTCCCTCGAAGAGCCGCTAGGAGGCCGGGGTGTCGCCCTCGGTCCCTGGGGTTCGATTCTGGTCCTATCATTCCTCCGAATCCCGTGGCCTGTCAGTCGCTCTTAGTTGCAAAGCTTGTGGGAGAAAAGCGAGAACCCAGCCGCGCGCTATGGAGAGAGAGCCGGATCCTGAGCCTAAGAGGAAGCCCGCACCCTCGGGGTCTTCGCGTTTCGTGTGGCTCATCCTGCAGATTTGTGGGAAGAGGGGGCACGAGTAGGGGTAACAGACAGGCTGGAACGGAGCCCGTGAGGGTGAGACGATTCCCTTTAAAGTGATTCGCGTTGGAAATTAGAGTAATAGGGGAAAGAAAAGGTTACTCAGTTATAACACTTTATCCCCTTATAAAAAAATCAATTGGACCGGGGACACCCGCATTCAAAATCTACGTGACAGGAGGACTTCGATTCTTTCTCCCCACGTGATGCAACTTTAGCGTGCAAAAATTGGAGACGGTCGTAAGGTATGTGCCCTGTATGAAGAACCGAAGCCAGGCGCCTACGTGCAGCTTCTTTCAGCACTCAACACTGGACTGCAGCGTGGGGAAAAGTTGTCACGACGTACTTAAGGGGACTCAGGTGCCCCGCGCTCACACGCTGGCGCAGAAAACCTCGCGAGAAGTCGCGGGAGTACGTCCAAGACTGAGGTTTGCCCCCGATGCCGGAAGCGCGCAGATCCTCCCGGAAGTAGTGCTTGCTCGGTACACGTGGGCCGCAGAATGGCGGCTCACCGCTCGGGCCCGCTGAAGCCGCACAATAAAGCTCATAAAGGCGGGCGACACCACGGTGGTGGGTCCGCACAACAGGGCGGCAAAGGTGAGTAGACAGGAGGAAGGAGGGCTGCTTAGCCGGTAGCCGCGACTAGACTTGGGACCCTTGCCAAAGGCTCTTTTCAAGGAGCCACGAGAGGTTCCTGTTCGTTAATCTAATGGTGCGGAGCCGAACAGCCACTTCTGCTCTGCCTTCCAGGCCGCGTAGCACCGAAGGTCCTGTGCAAGAAGCTGAAGAAGCAGCTCAGCCGGGTCGACCAGAGGCATCGCGCCAGTCAGCTCCGGAGGCAGAAAAGGGAGGCGGTGAGAAGAGTGGGGGTTTGGAAACGGTGCGGCTTCTGAATGGTTTTGGATGGGTAAAAATTCCTCAGACTAGAAAATGTGACCCGGACATGGGCAGAAAATGGAGAGTAAACCCAGGGTACCCACGTGCCATGTTCCTTTTAGTCCGAGGCCCTGCCAACAGTCCTCGTGGCTTTTAAGAAGACAATGTTTGATCCTTGGGTATCATTTATCTGGCCTTGTGTTCTTTCGCAGGGTATTCTGATTATTATGCTTTCTTTTTAAGAGACAGGGTTTCACTTGACTGTCCTGGAACTCTGTTAGACCAGGCTGGCCTTGAACTCAAAGAGATCCTCCTGCTTCTACTTCCTGAGTTCTGGGATTAAAGGTGTGCGCCACAACTGGCCGTCTGTGTTTTCTTTGTTAACAAAGGGGTCTCACCGTGTAGCCCTTGCTGGCCTAGAACTCTGGCCTCCAACTCAGAGAGATGTACCAGCCATTGCCTGAGTGCTCAGTTTAAAAGCCACCACACCCGGCTATTCTGATCTTTTCTAGTGTTTTATGTTAAAGTTCCCTTGCTACTGTTTTTTTTTCTTTTCAAGACAGGGTTTCTCTGTATTGCTATGGAGGTTTTCCTGGAACTCGATCAGTAGACCAGGCTGGCTTCGAACTCACAGAGATCCACCTGTCTCTGCCTCCCAAGCTCTTGCTACTTTTACAAACCAATAAGGGTGTTTGGAGTTGTGCTTTGGTGTGGCAGCATCTGTGTTTTTGAAGATGTAATAGTGAAGCAGATGATTGAGGTTCTCTCTGAACCTTTGTGTTGCTAGGTTCTGGCAGAGAAGAGGCAGCTGGGCAGCAAGGATGGACCTCCCCATCAGGTGCTCGTGGTGCCTCTGCACGGTAGGATTTCCCTGCCAGAGGCATTTAGACTGCTTCAGAATGAAGACTTGGGGACAGTGTACTTGAACCAGCGTGGAAGCACCCAGAGTTTTATGCTTCTTTGCCCTGGCTTGAAACATCGGTGGTTTTTCACATATGCAAGACCAGGTTAGAGTATCTGATATTTTTTTTGTCGTTATGTTTAAGTATTTCTTGATTATAATGTGCTAACTACTTACTGTGTCTGCCGTTTTCAGGGGATCTGCACACTGTATTAGACATGGCTAAAGTTGCTGATACCATCCTTTTCCTCTTGGATCCACTAGAAGGCTGGGACGACACTGGGGATCACTGTCTATCTTGCCTCTTTGCTCAGGGCCTTCCCACCTATAGTAAGTGTGTTGGAATATTGGAAATCAGCAAAGAAAGTTAATTAGCATTTCTTGGTACAACTCTGTTCTTCCAGGTACAGTGTTTAACATTTGATTTAGGAGTACTACCAATGGGTTATGTTCTGATGATGTGGGATACACGTGTCCAAATTAAAAATTTTTTAAATTACTTTGAAATTTGTTTATTTTTAACCTGATAGTGGGTGGTTGGGGGTAAGAAAAAATTAGTTTATTACTTTTTTTTTTTTTTTTTTGGTTTTACGAGACAGGGTTTCTCTGTATTGTTTTGGAGGCTGTTGGTCCAGCCTGGCCTCAAACGCACAGAGATCCGCCTGCCTCTGCCTCCTGAGTGCTGGGATTAACGGCGTGCGCCACCACCGCCCGGCTGTTTTGTATTTTCTGAGACAGGGTTTCCCTGTGTAACAGCTCTAGCTGTCCTGGAACTCATTTTGTAGACCAGGGTGGCCTAACCCACAGAGATCGGTCTGCTCCTGCCTCCCTAGTAATGGTATTAAAGGCGTGCACCTGCACTGCCAGGCTTAAAGAGAAGTTTTATCTGGGCGGCCCTTTGCCCAGGGAAAGACTAGGAAGATGAATTTCATTGTGACATTTCTTTACTGTTAGCTCCGTAGTTGAGTTTCCTAGTGATCCCTGGGTTGTTGTGATCTGGAAATGAATTTTCTAGTAGTGAAACAGTAAGGGACTAAACTCTTTCCTTCTCTCCTTCAGCACTAGCTGTCCAGGGGCTTTCTAGCCTCCCACCAAAGAAACAAATAGATGCCAGAAAGAAGCTAAGTAAAGCAGTGGAGAAACGCTTTCCCGAGGACAAACTTCTGTTGCTGGACACCCAACAGGAGGCAGGAATGCTGCTTAGACAGTTGGCTAACCAGAAGCAACGGCATCTTGCTTTTCGAGATCGGAGAGCTTACTTGTTTGCCCATGTTGCTGACTTCGTGCCTAGTGAGGAGAGTAACTTAGTGGGCACCTTGAAAATCTCAGGCTATGTTCGTGGGAGGACTCTGAATGTAAATAGTTTGCTGCATATTGTTGGACATGGTGATTTTCAAATGAATCAGATAGATGCACCCGTGGACCCTTTCCCTTTAAATCCTAGAGTCATTAAATGCCAGAAGAAACAAAGCACGGCAATGGAGGTAAGATTAATAAGGTTTTCATTTATGGGAATCGAATCCAGGCCTCAGCAAGCACTATACTACTTGGCTATAATCATCACCCAAGATTGTTGGTTTTAACTGGGATTAAAACCACTGCCTGGCTAGAGAAGATAGTTTGCACACTTATTAGGCAAGTGCTAGTTTGAAAGTAAGGCAATAGACAGAAATATGTTGAGCAATTGTATTTATCTAGTACTTTCTACATATTCTTCGAGGATGAATCTGCCTTTGTGGCAGATGTGCCCTATTCTCAGAATTTATTGGAATTATAAATCAAATTAACAAACACTTGTGAATTTAAAGATTACAGTAGCATATAGTTAAGACCTGGTTAAAGTACACTAGCAAGCTACACAGAGTCAGCCAAGTGTTCTGAAGAATGAGTGACTTACAGTTCCACAGAGGTGAAAGAATGTCGTGGGGACTATGTGAATCTAGTTATAGTGAAGTAGAGGATTTCTTTAAACTTTTTTTTTTTTTTTTTGGTTTTTTCGAGACAGGGTTTCTCTGTGGCTTTGGAGGCTGTCCTGGAACTCACTTTGTAGACCAGGCTGGCCTCGAACTCACAGAGATCCGCCTGCCTCTGCCTCCCGAGTGCTGGGATTAAAGGCGTGCGCCACCAACGCCCGGCCTTCTTTAAACTTTTATCGAAGACTTGGACCTCACTATGTAGCAGTGACTGTCCTGGGACTTACTGTATAGACCAGGCTGGCCTTAAATGTTTCTGAGATCAGCCTGCCTCTGCCAATTGAGTGTTCAGATAAAAGGTATGCACTACTATGCAGGGTTTATTTGAATTTTTGAAGAGAGCAGTTTGATTGAAAGGGAGTATAAGCCAGGTGGTGGCGGCACATGCCTTTATTCACAACACTTGGGAGGCAGAGGCAGGTGAATCTCTTAAGTTCAAGGCCAGCCTGGTCTACAGAGTGGGTTTTAGGAGAGCCAAGGCTGCACAAAGACACCCTGTCATGAAAAATAAACAAAAAGGGGAGGGGTATAATAAGGTGGAAGAGGTCAGGTTTTCTTAGAAACAATCTCAGGAGTTAAGCAGGTAAGCAAAGTTGAAATGCTAGGAGATGCCCATTTGCAAATTTTGGTGTGTTTAGATTTTCTGTTTAATATGTGGATCTTTCAGATTACTGTTATATTTACCACCAGACTTACTGTCTCACAGGCCATTACCTGTTTTGGTTTTAGATTTGTGCAACAGATGCTGTAGCTGACATGGAAGAAGACCTTAGGGTTCTGATGAAGGCAGACCCTGACCAACAGGAGTCCTTACAAGCAGAGGTTGTTCCAGATCCGATGGAAGGGGAGCAAACCTGGCCCACCGAGGAGGAACTGGATGAGGCAAATGGTTAGTGGTGTAGCAAACTTGCTAATTGCTCTTGCTCACTGCTTGCTTATAGGGCTGGATGAGGAAGTGATTGAAGACCAAATACTACATGATTTTACTAAGAAAACTCTGGGCACAGCTCTGCTTCCTCTCTCAAAATCACTCTAGGCTTGTCTTTTTAAAAAATAAGTGATAGTAAATTCACTACCGGTTTTTTTGTTTTTTTGTTTTTTTTTTGTTTTGTTTTTCGAGACAGGGTTTCTCTGTGGCTTTGGAGGCTGTCCTGGAACTTGCTTGGTAGTCCAGGCTGGTCTCGAACTCACAGAGATCCACCTGCCTCTGCCTCCCGAGTGCTGGGATTAAAGGCGTGTGCCACCAACGCCCGGCTGGGGTTTATTTTATTTTATTTTTTTAAGCTATGTATTTGTTGCTAATTGTGAGGCAACTGAATTAAATTAGGAAGTAGTCTATTCTCATGTAACTGTTATTTTCACATGTTAGTAGTGTCTTTGTAAGTGAGAATACAGAAGGGAAGTATAATTAGTATATAACTAATATAAACTAGTAAATTGTTTGGGTTTTACAGACGTATTGAAGCAGCGTTCTAGAGTGGTAAAGAAGGTTCCTAAAGGCACATCCAATTACCAAGCTGAGTGGATTTTGGATGAAGGAGATGAAAGTGGTGATGAAGGCGATGAGTATGATGATATCCAACATGAAGGTTTTATGGAGGAGGAGTCTCAGGTAAGAAAATTGGCCATTGGGACACCTGTGTATACAGCTCCAAAAACATGGCTTAATTACAGAAAGGAGATTTTCATGACTTTTGTTAGAATTTATTTTGAGGCTGGGGAAATGGCCCGTTGGGTAAAGTACTTGTCACATAAGTATTAGGACTTGAATTTGAACTACCAAGACCCATATGAAGCCAGATGTGGTAGTGCAAGTCTCAGAACAGTATGGCCAAGTTAACACAACAAAAGGTCCTGACTCCAGGTGGAAGGTGAGGACGGACAACCAAAGTCCTCTGACCTCCACATTGCATGTTCATATGTCACACACTCATGTACATTTTTCTATTTATATTGGTTACAGATGGGTGTCTAGGAAAATTGATCTTTGTTTAATTGCTTTTGGGGTAGAGATGGGTAGGTTTCTGCTGAAATGTCCACAATTTTTTTTCAGATGGTCTTATGTAGCCCACAACTGACCTTGAACTCAACCGAGCTAGGATCATGGGCATGTGAAACCATGCCTGATGGCTATTTTTTGTTGGTTTTGTCTTTTTTGTTTTTGTTTTTTGAGACAGGGCTTCTTTTGTAGCTTTGGAGGCTATCCTGGAACGAGCTCTTGTAGACAGAGATCCCCCTGCCTCTGTCTCCCGAGTGCTGGGATCAGAGGCGTGCAACACCACCACCTGGCTCCTTTTTTTTTTTTTTTTTTTGACAAGGTCTCATGTATCCCATGTTTTAGCCCTGAATTCAGTATGTAGCCGAGAATGATTTTGAACTCCTTAGTCTCCTGCCTCTGACTCTACCTTCTCAGTGCCTGGATTATAGAGATATCTGGTATTCTGTGTCTTATTTTTTTGATGTGCTAGTAATCAATTCCTAGGGCTTCACAAATGTCAGGCAAGTTATCAGATGAACCATACCCCCAAGGATCCCACACACACACACACATATGTTTTTAGGGTATGTGTCTTGGGGGAATGGTGTTAAGAGACAGTTTCACTATTTTGTTCTGTTCTAGAACTCAGTGTGTAGACCAGGCTGGCCTTGAACTAACAGAGATCCACCTTCCTCTGCTTCCCAAGTGATGTAATTAAAGTCCTGTATTATTACTACACCTTGAGAATTTGGGGGGGCAGGGATCAGGAACAAGCTTGCTGGAGTCGTTTCTTTTGCACTATTTGGGTTCTTTTATAGAAACAGCTAGAAATCAAGTGCCTTTAGTCATTGAGCCACCTTGTTGGTGCCATGGTTTTCCTTTTTTGGGGGGGGTATAGTCTTATGCATCTCAGGCTTGTCTAGAACTCTTAGCTGAGGGTGACCTTGAACCGGTGTTGATGTTATAGGCATGTAAAATCTGGCCAGCTTTAGACAGTGCTGGGGTTCCAACCAAAAGCTTGTGTGTGCTAGGAAGGCACTCTACCAATGGAGCTACATCCTCTTCCCTTTCTGGGTTTGTTACTTTTTGTTGTTGGTTTTTTTTTTTTTTGTTTTGTTTTGTTTTGTTTTTGGAGACAGGGTTTCTCTGTCATGGCTATCTTGGAACTTGCTCTGCAAGACTAGGCTGGTCTTGAACTCACAGAGATCTGCCTGCCTCTACCTCCCAAGTTTCTGTGATTAAAGACATGTGCCACCACCTCCTGGCTATGTTTTTTCAAGACATTTTTACTCTGTCACCCAAGCTGCCATCACACTCATAGTGAATCTCCTTCCTCAGCTTCCTAATCCTAGGATTAAAGTGTGTTCCATAATGCATATTTGTAATTCTCCGTTCATTTTACAGGATGAGAGTGGTGAGGAGGAGGAAGAGGAATGTGAAACTATGACTCTAGGGGAGTCTGTGCATGATGATCTCTATGATGAGAAAATAGACGAAGAGGCTGAGGAGAGAATGTTGGAGAAATACAAACAAGAAAGACTGGAAGAGATGTTTCCAGATGAAATGGATACCCCACGTGATGTGGCTGCTAGAATCCGGTTAGTCAGCAAGTGAAGACAAGTTTTATTTGAAAATTTTCATGATTTATTATTTGAGTAGGATTCAAATGGGAAAAACACATTGTCCTTGAGGGGCTAACATGCTACATAAGAAGCAACAACATACTTGTTCTGAGTGAAGTAGACATACCTAGGTTCATTACCTAGTGAAACAGACATACCTAGGTTAATTAGCAAATATTCCTTGCAGGAGTAAGTGCTCAGAAGAATGGATTTGGGAATTAAGAGTTTTTAAATGATGCTGCTCAAAAAAGTAAAAGTAAGAAAATGTAGGCGATTTTTCTGGAAGTAAGCCTGACTAAAAAGCCAGTATCAATGTTGGGTACTAGAAGTAAGGCAGGTTAAGAGTCACATTCCATAACAGGCACTATAAATACTTTGTACCCTATGAAAAGTCTGAGTTGATTTTGAAATACTTGTTAGAAGCTGTTGTAGGACATGGTTTTGCTAAAGCTATTAGTTTGTTTGAAAGATAGGGTCTCATGCGGATCAGGCTATTCAGGATCTTCCTACCTCCACCTCCCAAGTGTTGGGATTATCGGTGTGTATTTCCATACCCATTTGTAGCTCATTAGGGTATTTTGATGCCTAGTGAGTAGTTTTTGTTTCTTGAGACAGTTTTGCTTTGTAGCTAAGGCAGACATGAAACACATGACCCTACCCCAACCCTCCCAGTGCTGGTACAACAGGTATGTATATTAGAGCCAGAATTAAAAGACTTGTTAGGTTTGTTGTGCTGTGGTGGGGGTTGAAGCCAGGTGTGTGTACTAGAGGTGAGCATCCCTAGATAAGAGTACTTTTAAAAAGTGAGAGCCTTGACCATTTTAGAAGTGAGGTGAGTTTTATGTAGCACCATCTAACCTCTTACTTACTTTAAAATCTGTGCTTTAGATTTCAGAAATATAGAGGCCTCAAGAGCTTCAGGACATCTCCTTGGGACCCTAAGGAAAACCTTCCTCGAGATTATGCTCGGATCTACCAGTTTCAGAATTTTATTAATACTAGAAAAAGAATCTTTAAAGAGATTGAGGAAAAAGAAGCTGAGGGAGCCGAGGTACCGGCCATCTTGTCCATCTTGTAATTTGTTTTTGACACAATGCTACTTGTTTGGGAACGAAGGGATTTCAGATAATTAACTGAGAAGGTTGAATCTGGGTGGTTGACACACCCATGAATGAGGAGGCTTGGCATGTATTTGGAGAAAAGTTTCGTCACTATTGGGACATTAAGGTAACCCTAGTGATTGTCTTGTGCTTTGGCAGGTTGGCTGGTATGTCACACTTCATGTATCTGATGTCCCTGTCTCAGTGGTTGAATATTTCAGGCAAGGAGCGCCCTTGATTGCATTTTCTTTACTACCTTATGAACAGAAGGTAAATCAGTGTTTTGTGGGGAATGGAGAGTTACAAATATTTTTCCAAGAGGTACAACATTTTGTTCTCTGGTGGAGTCAGAATAGAGAAGTCAATGATGGTTACACCCACAATGTCTGAACCTATCTGAAGCATCTCAGTGATGCAGTCTATGGCTCTGAGACTTCCCTACTTGTTTATTTATTTTCCTGATCAGAAGGGTAGTAGTCTTAAAAGTAAACGTTTGTGCCAGTGTAGAGATCTGTTTTCTAGGTGACAGTCGTCATGCACACTGGGAGTGGGGCAGCTGGTATAAAGGTTGTGGAGGCGTGGAGGAGTGTGGTTGGGAGGACATATGGTTATCGGGTAACGTAAAGGTCATTCGCTATGGCTTACCTCTTGCAATGTTAACATGTATGGCAGTAAGCTAGCTTAGACATGTGCGTGGAAGCACTGATAAGGCCTGTATGTACCTGCAAGGTGGTGGGTAAAAAGGACTATTTATAATGACATCATGTCATGAACTAGCATGCTTAATTCTTAGAGTGAAACTGATATTTGGTTTGCCTTTCAGGTTAGGTTGTTATATGCCTAGACTATGAAGCTCTTTCTTATTTGGTCCTCAGATGTCTGTATTGAATATGGTGGTGAGTCGGAACCCTGGCAACACAGAACCTGTGAAGGCCAAAGAAGAACTGATCTTCCACTGTGGATTCAGGCGCTTCCGAGCCTCACCCTTATTCTCTCAGCACACAGCAGGTTAGCATGGAAGCTGTTGGGGTCTTGTAACCTGTTGTCTTTAGTCTCTGGGGTGAAGATCTTTTCAGTACTCTGACTTAGGAGCCAATGATGTTTTTATTCAATGTCTGAACCTGTCTGAAGCATCCCAGTGATGCGAACTGTGTTGTGCTGAGGCTTCTGTGCTACGAGTATTGTTCCAGAGTAGGCTTCAAACCAGGGTTGGTAACTTTAGGAGTAGGAATATGTGTTGCCCACTCATTTGGGACTATTGAACAATACCATAGCTCACTTCCCTTTCAGTGACAGGAGACAGAGATGGTGACAGCATTACTGGTGCTGTGGATAAATTTTCCATCTGTCATGTCATTTTGTAAACAAAGTTTTACTGAAACATGGAGTGTCTTGTATTTGTTTTTTGACAGGGTTAGGAGGGTCTAACTGCATTGTCTTGTTTTCTTTATTGAGATTTCTCAAGACAAGGTTTAATATGTAGCCAAAGCTGGCCTTCCTTGACCTTCAGAATGGTGGGAATACAGGGAGGTTTTCTGATCTACATGATGGAAGGGAATAGCTGTTCTCTGACTTGTATTCCAGTGCTGTAGCACATATGCCTTCACCACCAAAATAAATAAGATATATTAAAATGCCTTAATTTAAGAAAGTAATAACTACATTACAGATGAATAGAGCTTTTCTGCTTACTGTCCTGCTCAAAAGAGCTCAAGACTGAGTAAAAGTATTGGTTGTGGTAAGATCAGTCACCTGGGAGGACTTGCAATGCCAATAGTAGCATTAATTCTGTCTCAATGAGCCGGGCGTTGGTGGCGCACGCCTTTAATCCCAGCACTCGGGAGGCAGAGGCAGTCGGATCTCTGTAAGTTCGAGACCAGCCTGGACTACCAAGGGAGTTCCAGGACAGCCTCCAAAGCCACAGAGAAACCCTGTCTCGAAAAACCAAAAAAAAAAAAAAATTCTGTCTCAATGGTGGGACTAAGTTTTATCTTTTAATTGTATTGATGGGCAGGTGTCTGAGAGTTAGTAATGTAGGGAAATACAAGATGAAGCTGGATAAGATATCCTTGCCCTTGAGAGGTGGAGGAAGGTACATAGCAAGTTCAAGGAAAGCTTGCAGAAGATGAGACCTGTCAAAATGAAACAGATGGGAGCCTGCAGAGGACCTGGGTTCAATTCCCAGTATCTACACTGGTCAGCTTAGAGGCACCTCCACACATGCACACCCACATCATATATACCCATACCCAGACACCTACACATAAATAAAAACATGGATCGTAATCACTAATTTTAAAAGGCGGGGGGCTGTGTGGCAGCAACATAGCTTTTGACAGCTCTTGGATTGCTTATTGGTTTCTCAAAAGGGTTTTCTCTTTTTTTCTATTTATTTTGAACCGTTGCTATGGAAGCTGATAAACATAAATTTCAGAGATTCCTGACTGCTGATGCGGCTTTAGTGGTGACAGTGTTTGCGCCAATCACTTTTCCTCCTGCATCTGTGCTACTTTTCAAGCAGAGAAGTAATGGTATGTTGAATTCTAAATGGTACATGATTGAAATTACTAGGACCATCTGTACTTAAACCTGGGGTCTAACTGTATTAAGATATACTGGTAGGGCGCTGGAGAGGTGGCTCAGGGGTTAAGAGCACAGACTGCTCTTCCAGAGGTCCTGAGTTCAATTCCCAGCAACCACATGGTGGCTCACAACCATCCATAGTGAGATCTGGTGCCACCTTCTGGCGTGCAGACATAAAAATGGAGGCTGAATGTTCTATTCATAATAGATAAATCTTAAAAAAAAAGTTTACTGGTAGGCTTTCAAAAATACCAGTTCAACCTCATTGAGGGTGAAAGTAAGCCCAGGGTGATAAACTAGTTCTTTCCTATGTCACACTTCAGTGGAGGCTACTTAGAGTACTATATTTAAGGATAGGTTTGGGGGAACTGGCTCAATAGAAATATGCATAGATCAGAGTAGTAGCTGAAGGATTGGTCCTGTAGTTCACAGCTGCTCTCCTTTCCTAGGAATGCACAGCCTCATTGCTACAGGCCATCTGTTGTCAGTGGATCCAGACAGGATGGTCATCAAGAGAGTTGTTCTGAGTGGTCATCCTTTCAAAATTTTTACTAAGATGGCAGTAGTACGTTACATGTTTTTCAACAGAGGTAGGCATGAATGAAGGAATGTTTCCCTGTGGTGGGAAGATGGGCTTGACACCGTGGGTAAACGTTTAATTTTGTGTCCGTGTATTCCATTCTAAGAGGATGTGATGTGGTTTAAGCCTGTGGAACTGAGAACCAAGTGGGGCCGCAGGGGACACATCAAAGAGCCTCTAGGTAAGAGTCTGGGATTCCCCAGTGTTACAAAGGAACTATTGGACTGTAAAGTTCACTACATGTCTTACTGTGACCAACTTTCTGTTTTCCTTCTAGGTACTCATGGCCATATGAAATGCAGTTTTGATGGGAAGCTAAAATCTCAGGATACAGTATTAATGAATCTCTATAAGCGAGTTTTCCCCAAATGGACTTATGATCCATATGTACCAGAACCAGAACCGTGGGTGAAAAGTGAGATCTCAACAGTGTCTGAAGTGGACATGGAATAATGGATTCATGGGCTCTGTCTACTGCAGGACTCCAGTGGGAGGGAGTGTGGTAGTGACGAGGCAGTTCGTGCTTTCCATTTCAGCTGTCCATGCCTGTACTGAGTGTGGGGGTTTACACTACTACTTGGTCTCCAAACTATAACTTACTGGAATGCTCTTTTCCATTAGTATTTTGAAAACAATTTTAAAAGGAAAGATGGAAAACATTTTCATCTAGAGACATCTTTTCATGAATTTAAACAGAAATAGTTTGGTAAGGAGCTGGCCTTTCATCCTGCTTCACCCAGTTTAGGGAGGTTAAGTCTACATTCCCACCACTGAGTATAATACAGATGTTCTTTACTTCTGGACAGACTGTTTGGAAATGCTGAGACAGCACTGCAGCCAATCCAACACCAGCAGTAGGCTCAATGAGCAGTTTCATTCTCTCCCACACCAGCTGGGTTGCATACTGTTGGTATAGAAAGGAGTAAGAATTAATGAAACAGAACTGGAGTGTTCTATTTAACCTACTGTTAAATTCTGAACATCAAATGAAATAGATGTTTGGGTTTGTTAGGATAAGTATGTGCTTGGTAATAAAAGTATGCATATACAACTCAGCCTATCTCTGCTATTGTCAGAGTTCCCATGTGTCATAGGGCCACCTGGCTAAGTTCATCACCTGTTCATACTAAGACTGTTTTTCCTCATCCCAGTCTTACCTTGATTTCATCCTCTGTGACGGTGAAGACATCATCCACAAGGTCCCTTATGATAGGCCAGGTATTTAAGCCAATGCTTGATCTGACACCGTCTGCTATGGTTTCTGGAGGATGAAGATTTGGAGTCAGTTCTCCTTTCATTTTAGACTGGTAGCAGTCATCTGCATTCAGGGGTTCAGCAGCATATACCTTCACACTGGGTTTCAGGGCCTGGGAAGAGAAACAGACAGCATAGTGGCACAATGGGTAACACAGAAGGGTCTTTCCTTTGATACTGAAATGGAAATATGACTGAAAGCACTTTAATAAACGTATCTGATAAATGACTGAATCGTCTAAATTATGACTGGTCCTAGTAATTTGGGGAGAGTATTTTAGTGAGGTGGACTTGGGAAGGACTGAGGACACCACTGCTTTATCAATGTGACATAGATGAAAAGGAAGTGAGGCAGAGGAGGCCATGAAAAGAATGGTCATTTGAGGAGAACGGTGAGCAACTAACTACCACAATGCAGTGTCATACAGGTCCTGTATTCCTAATCTAGGAAGCCCTTTAACTGCTTTGTTACCTTAATTGTAATGGCTATTCCAGCAACCATTCCTCCTCCCCCTACTGGTACCACGAATGCATCCACCAAGGGAACCTTTAGTAAAAATATGAACAGGTCCATTAAACTTACATATGCAGCAAAACCACTTTGCTAGTAGCTAAACAGGATGATGGCATTTTACCTGATTCAGTACTTCCAAGGCAATTGTCCCTTGTCCAGCTATCACCGCAGGCTCCTGGTTGGGATGGACCAAGATGCCTTCTGTTTCTTGCAAAATTCTTTGTGTGACCTTTTCTCTGGACTAAAAGGTAGCATTAATGTAGTTTACTTGACATAACAGTGAGTCCCCAAAAGTACCATATATCACTTAACACTTTAACATTTCTTTCATGGTACTTTCGAGCACTAATGAGAAAAAATTAAGATATTTCATTGGGTGGTTGAGGGGTTTCTAATTCTATGATACAAACAAGCTATGGATCTTTTAAAAGCTGAAGTTGTTAATGTGAAAAGTGTACAAGATCAAAGGATTTGGGCTTTTGTGAACTGTTAAGGGAGAGGATAATATAGTAGGTTAGGCAGAAGGATGGAATGGATAGATCGTCATAAGAACTCCAGTGGCTGGAGACAGCAAGTGGCTGCTTAGTAGGTAAAAGGTACCAGCACCAAATCAAAAACTTCTACTCTGAGGTGGAAAACTAAGGATCTGAGGTGACAAGCAGTCTAAATGAACAAGCTGGTTGCTACTGAAAGCATATTGTTGGGGCTTGGGAGGAAATAGAGACAAATTAGGCTACTAAATCTTTGTGAGAACAGATGCTGGATGGAATCAGGGTGATAATGGTAGAGGCCTTTTAAAAGAATTGGTATCACATCTATTCAGTTTTGCATGTGTGTAGAGGTCAGAGGATAACTAGGAGTCAGTTCTTGCCTAACACTGTTTGGGTCCTAGAAATGAAACTTGGATTATCAAGTTTGGCTGCAGGTGTCTTTACTTGGAGACTTTACTGATAGCCTTCTCCACAGTCTGTGTGTGTGTGCTTAATTTGAGAGACAAATTATCTGGATGTGGTGTTTACAACTTATCAAACTAGAAAGATAAATGTTTCTATTTGCTGAGGTGAGGAAGACTGGAATGGGGAGTAAGGAGTAAGACCAGCAATCTGGTGTCACTGACGCCAGGGAGGAAAGTTGGGTCGTTGGAGCATAGGTGAAACTTTAAAAAAAAATTTAATTTCTGGCTGGGCAGTGGTGGTACACACGTTTAATCCAACCCAGCACTTGGAAGCAGAGGCAGGTGGATCTCTGTTTGAGGTCAGCTTGGTCTACATAGAGTTCTAGAACAGGCTCCAAAGCTACACAGATAAACTGTGTCAAGAACCTTTCCCTCAAAATTTTTAAATCCAATTTCTGGGACTGGAGGGTTGGCTCCATGTTTAGGAGCATTAACTGTTCTTCAGAGGACTGATTTCAGTTCCCAGCACCTACAGAGCAGTTCACAACTGTTCTTACCTCTAGATCCAACACCCTCACAGACATACATGCAGGCAAAACACTACTGCATATAAAAAGAAAATTTTAATTTCTGACAGGGCATAGTGCACATGACTTTAATAACAGTACACTGGAGGCAGAGGCAGGTGAATCTTTCTCAGTTCAAGACTATCCTGGTATATACAGTGAGTTCCAGGACAGCACTATTTAGATAGATCTTGTCTAAAAATCAGTATCTCTCCCTCTCTCTCATTTTGAGACAGGATATCTTGTAGCTCAGGTTCTCAGGCTAGTCTATCAGTTTTTGTCCAAAGATGACCTTGAACTCCTGGTCTTCCTGCCTGTATTTCCCAAGTGCTGAGATTATAGGCATATATCAACCATACCCAGGTGTTAAACTTTTTGAGAAAAAGCCTTACTCTAGCTCAGGCTGGTCTGGAAGTTGCCATTTTGTCTCCTACTCCTGAATGTTAGAATACGCATGTGCTACCATGCCTGGCTTTAGTCCCATTAAGCTGAAACTAATGACATGAAGTAAGGATAGATGGGGAAAATGCTGGTCATGCTAAGGCAAAGAGGAAGCCTCCAGGAAGAGAGGCAGATAGTCTGCTAAGTGAAGTTAGCAAGTGTTGCTGTCCTTACCTCGTCACTTTGCTCACTATATACTATAGAGGCTCCATAGGCTTGTATTGCCAGTTTCTTGCAGTTGGGAGCGGTTTGAGGCACCACAATATAAGCAGGAATCCCTGGGAGGGGAAGAACATGTTTAGATCTTCCAGGATAGAAACTTAGATCATTTTGCTTATGAGCAAACAGACTCCTTTGGAAACTTACTTTTCACAGCTGTCATCCCTCTTACTGAAATTAGGGCATTTTCCCACTCCTCTCTGATATTACTCTGTACCCTGAGAAAATGAAATACCTTCCAGTTTGGCAGCATAGGTGAGAGCCTGGCCATGGTTTCCACTGCTGTGAGTAACAACGGCTTTGGGCTTCCCTTCCAAAGTGTCAGAGATTAAGCCTCTGATGGCATTAAGAGCACCACGAATCTGGAAGATACAGTGAATTATAAATGGTGCATCATTTAACAATGGGGACATGTTCAAAGAAATTAATTCACTTGTTTCATTGTACAAACTATAGAATATTTATACAAACATAGCCTGCTATGCACCCAAGCTGTGATAGAGCCTACTGCTTCCAAGCAATAAACTGAAGCATGTTAAAAATACTGAGCATGCTGGGCAGTGGTGACACATGCCTTTAATCCCAGCACTCGGGAGGCAGAGGCAGGCGGATCTCTGTGAGTTCGAGGCCGGGCTGGACCGACAGCCTCTAAAACAATACAGAGAAACCCTGTCTCGTAAAACCCAAAAAAAAAAAAAAAAAAAAAAAAAAAAAAGACATTTTCTCCCCTTTTAATTTTTAGATTTATGTATATGATGAGTGAGCCTGTTTGACTCTCTGGAATTGGGGTTATAAATAGCTGTGAACCACTGTGTGGGCACTTGAAACCCAGGTTCTCTGCAAGAACAAGTGCTCTTCACTGCAGGGCCATCTCTCTGGCCTCTATCCCTATTCCTGTTTGAGTCTTGCCTCAGCTGGGCAAAGAGTCCAGAGCAGCTTTGAACTCATGGCATCCTCTTGCCTCAGTCTCCCATTTCTGGATTACAGGGATGAGCTGCCACACCTACCTCTAAAAAACATTTAGTGTTTTGCAGGACAGACGATAGATCTGGGGAGATCTAAAGACATTGCTATACAGTACGGTAAACTAAACATGGTATACTTAAACTACACCAAGTATTTTTCACAATAGTAAAATTTGCTTATTGTAACTGCTTTTCTTTGTAAATTAAAAAAAAATTAGCTGGGTGGTGGTGGCACACACATTTCATCCCAGCACTTAGGAGGCAGAGGCAGGTGAATCTCTTGAGTCTGAGGCCAGCCTGGTCTGCAGAGTGAGTTCTAAGACAGTCAGGGATACAATGAAACCCTGTCTCAAAGTCTAAAACAAAACAAAACAAAACAAAACAAAAAAAAAAAAAAAAAAAAAAAAAAAACCAGGGTCTTATGTAATCCAGGCTGGCACTGAATTTGCTAATTTGGTATGTAGCCAAAGACAACCTTATTCCTGATTCTTCTGTTTTTGTTTTTGTTTTAATTTTTTTGAGAAAGGGTTTCTCTGTGTAGCTTTGGAACCTATCCTGGCACTGGTTCTGTAGACCAGGCTGGCCTCGAACTTACAAAGATCCATCCGTCTGCCTCTGCTTCCTGAGTGCTGGCACCAACGCCCCGCCTCATTCTTCTGTTTAAAATGCAAAAACATTGTACAGCTGTACAAAAATATAGCCAGGTGTGATGGCACACACCTTTAACTTATTTAGACAATATCCATGGGACCATAATTATAAGGGATTTTAGATTGTGTGAAAGTGACATATCAATGTTATAAACCTGTTACCCATGACTTGAAAATTGTGCAAACTTTTGTTTCCAATTGCAAAAAGACATTTGTTTACTTCCAGCCACCCCACTAATGGACAGGAGAATAAAACAGATTTGGGGCTGGGTGGTGGTGGCAGCAGCAGTGCATGTCTTATATTCCAGCACTTGTGAGACAGAGCAGGCAGATCTCTGAGAGTTTGAGGCCAGCATGGTCTACAGAGCTAGTTCCAGGACAGCTAGGTCTATACAGTGAGACCCTGTCAAAAAACAAAACAAATAAAATCCCCAACAAACTGATTTGGAAAACATGATAAACAAAATGGAATTTTACCTTAAAAGATCCAGTTTTCTGGAAGAGTTCACATTTGAAGAAAAGACTGCGCCCTGCTATTTGATTCAAAATGGAGCTTGTTAGCACTGGCGTGAGATGGACAGAATCTCGGATGTTGACATGAGCTTTTTCAACATCAGCAAAGGAGATGCAGTACTGAGCACACATGGTTCTGAAACCAGGAACAAGACACGGGGTCAAAGCAGAGTCCAAACAATGCTTATTTGAAACACTGAAACAGGAGAAGAGCCGGGGGCCTGCAGTGCTATGTGGAACTCTTCCCATTACTAGCATGTTGGGTTTTCTGTACAGAGAGGAACTTCTTTGAAGCTGAAGTAAGTATTCTTGTGACTATTGAAATGGAAGTTATCAGGCTCCACTCACACCTCTTGGCACTGCTTCTGGTATGTGCCTTTTCATCATTGTATAGCCAGGCTGGCCTTGAATTTACAGAGTTCTACCTGCCTCTGCCTCCTAAGTACTGGAATTAGAGGTTTGTGCCACTACAACTGCTGTCTTGTTTTGAGAGTTTCAAGTGTCACTATGTTCTCCAGGCTGGTATAAAAACCCAAGGGATCCTCCTGATTGCTGGAACTACTCATGTGTGCCATTGGTCCTGGCTTATAATTTTATTTTAAAAACTAACAAATATTGGAAGTGGCAAGATGGCTCAGCAGCTTAAGGCATTTACTGGCAGGACTGATGACCCAAGTTTGGTTCCCAGGATCCACATGATGGAAGAAGTGATTCTTTTTTTTTTTTTTTTTTGCTTTTTGTTTTTTTTTGGTTTTTTGAGACAGGGTTTCTCTGTGGCTTTGGAGGCTGTCCTGGAACTCGCTCTGTAGACCAGGCTGGCCTCGAACTCACAGAGATCCGCCTGCCTCTGCCTCCTGATTGCTGGGACTAAAGGTGTGCGCCACCAATGCCCGGCTGGAAGAAGTGATTCTTAAGCTATCTTCACACACACACACACACACACACACACACACACACACACACACACACACACACACACACACACACACACACACACACACACACACACAGGATTGGTGGCACATGCCTTTAATCCCAGCACTCAGGAGGCAAAGGCAGGTGAGTTCAAGGTCAGCTTGGTCAACATAGTAAATTTCAGGTTAGCTAGGGTTATATACTGAGACTCTGAGTAAATAAATGAAAAAAGTTATTTTGAGAAAAAAACAAAAAACTTTTCCCCTTGGTTTTTTGAGACAGGTTCTCTCTGACAGCCCTAATTGTCTGGGAACTTTCTTTATAGATTATGCTGGCCTTGAGCTCAGAGATCTGCCACCCCTGCCTGCCAAGTGCTGAGGTTAAAGGCATGTGCCATGGCTGCCTGGTCGATTTTTATCTAAATGCATGCACAATTCTAAGACATCTGAAGTGTCATATTAGTGTAATGTGCCAGTTTTGTGATATTAACACCTACTGCCAAGCTGATTCTACCAGTTCATACTTAACATCAGTATCTAAAAGATGTCCATTTACTTTTGCCTTGCTATATTGCTTTAGTGTTTTTCTTTTTTCCAAGACAGGGTCTTTTTGGGTAGTCCTGGCTATCCTGGTACTCACTCTGTCAATCAGGCTGGCCTTGGAGATCAACCTGCCTCTGCCTCTTGAATCCTGGGATTAAAGGTGTCCACCACCACTGCTTGGCTTGATAGTTTGCTTTTCATTAAATCTTATTTCCCCTGTGTGTGGGGTGTGTGCCCATGCCATGGCATCAGAGAACAGCTTTGGGAGTTGGTTCTTTTCTTCTACCATGTGGTCCTGGGGATTATACTTGTGTTGTCAGGCTCCACTCCAAGGGTCTTTACCCACTGGGCCATCTTTCCAGCCTGCTATAATATTAAAAAAAAATTTTAGACTTATGTGGATGAATGTTTTGCCTTGGTGCATGTAAATGTACCATGGGTGTGCCTGGTATCCAGGGAGCCAGAAGAAGGAATCAGATCCCTGGAACTGGAATTACAGATGGTTGCGAGCTGCCATGTGGATGGATGCTGGGAACCAAACTGAGTTCTCTAGAAGAGCAGCTAGTGTTCTTTTTATTCTTTTTGTTTTTTGTTTGTTTTTCGAGACAGGGTTTCTCTGTATTGTCTTGGAGGCTGTCCTGGAACTAGCTCTTGTAGACCAGGCTGGTCTCAAACTCACAGAGATCTGCCTGCCTCTGCCTCCTGATTGCTGGGACTAAAGGTGTGCGCCACCAACGCCCAGCTAGCAGATAGTATTCTTAACTCCTGAGCCAACTCTCCAGCCCCTACCATGAAATTTTAAGATTACTTACAGATAATATATATGAAGAATAAGATTTTTTTACATATTTATTATGTAATGAGGCACTTTACTAGATTATCTTGTTAGCTTTTAAAGTGTGTCCCCCCACTCCCCACAAGTTGAAGATAGGATGTAAGAACTCAAGGCAAATGCTCTATCAGTGAGTACACTTGTGGTATACATCCATACATTCAGGTAAAACATCCACATGGGGTAAAACAAAAGGAGAAGGCTGGGTGGTGGTGCATGCCTTTAATCCTAGGACTTGGGAAGCAGAGATGGAAATCTCTGCGTTCAAGGACAGTCTGATCTACAGAGCAAGTTCCAGGACAGGCTCCAAAGCTACAGAAAAAGCCTGTCTCAAAAAACAAAACAAACAAACAAGCAAAAAGGAAAATTCTACCTTTGTATGGTTATACATACATGTGGCTGCACACACATTTAATCTTAGCACTCAAGAAGCTGAGGCCAGACTGGTCTACATTGCAAGCTCAGGCCAGCTTGAGTTATACAGTGAGATCCTATCTCAGGGGAAAAAACAAAGAAGTAAGAATACTTAAAGATTTGTGGCCCAGTGGGATGATTACAGTCCCTCTCATGCAGGTGCTAGTCAATCCATTCCAGGACAAGTCCTGACCTTGAAACAGACTTGCTGTTGAGCAAGGCTACATTATTTAAGACATTCCTTCTCACTTGCTTTCTCCTGTGTGTGTGTTTAAAACTGTCTTGGGTATCCCATAATAGCCTGAAACTCAGTGTGTAATAGCTCAAGGATGACTATAGACTGCTGAGGAACCAGGAACTCTACTCACAGAAGCAGACCAAAAGAACCAAAATCTGTGTTTCAGCAAAGTAATAACAGGGCCCCAGACCTTTGCACAACTGACTCCATGATGGAATTGACCATTCAGGCTGTAAAACACAGCATGTGGACAGCATCGCCTGATAACACGAAAACAAAGGCCTAATCCACCAAAGTCCATAATTCTGGGAAAGTCTCTAAAAGCACGAACCTTTTTAGCTTCTGTAGTACTGCTTCAGGCTACTGTTCTTAACTGAAGTATGACAACCCAGGGACATGGTTTTTGTGCTTAAGAGCTCACACTAAAGAAGACTCAGGGCTACCCTGGGAGCTCTAACACCCAGTGTAGCCACAGACCAGCTAATAAAGACTTTCTATTGGCTTAAACCTATATCAAAGCAGTCTTCTCTGGTGAATACCCCACAACCAATGAGATTTCTGCACTCCCATGTTCATAGCTACATTACTCATAATAACCAAAAGAAGCCAGTGGCCATCGACAGACAAATGTCTACACATATGTAATATGCACATAAAATGAAAGATTTATATTTAACAGGAGGAAATTCTGACATAACATAGATGAACACTGAGGATATTATACTAAGGGAAATAAGCTACCTGCAAAAATACCTACTATATGATTCCAACTATGTAGGATACCTATAGTAATCAAATTCAAAGAAAGAAGAGTAGTTGATGGACTGAGTTTGGACAGTGGAGATCTGTTTAATGGGTGTAAATGGGTTTGGATATGTAATAGAATACATTAAACAACAACAAAAAGCATTCATTTAAAACTGATTAAATGGCCGGGCGTCAGTGGTGCACGCCTTTAATCCCAGCACTCGGGAGGCAGAGGGGAGGATCTCTGTGAGTTTGAGGACAGCCTGGTCTACAGAGTGAGTTCCAGGACAGCCTCCAAAAAACAATACAGAGAAACCCTGTCTCAAAAAAAACAAAAACAAAAACAAAAACAAAAAAACTGGTTAAATGACATTTTATGTCTATTTTACCACAGCTGAAACAAACTGAAAAAAAGCAGTTGCACTTAGGTCTATAGATTGTGTGATGCATACTACTTTCCCTTGTTGACTTTATTTTTACCAGAATTGACTAAAACCCAAGCAGTTCTGCATGCCTGGGAAGGGTTTTCTTGACTGATTGGATCGTTTGAGGTGAGACAACATTCTCTAAGTATGAGCCACATCTTTGAGGGTAGCCCACAGAAAGACATGGAAGAAGGAAGTGTCTGCTGTTTGTCTGCTTGCCCTCTTGTTGGCAAGTTCATCTATCCTACTGCTAAGGCATTCTTTTATTGGTACTAGAACCAGTTTCTTCAAGATTCCAACATAGTGTGAATTCTTGGCTTTTCTACCAAGAGATAGCCATTGTGGGATTAGCCACCACAGCCTATAAAGCATTCTAATATATGCCCTTCATATACATCCATATTTCATTCTTTCAATTCTGTTCCTTTAGAGATAGAATACTGACTGACACAGCTTACAAGTGAGAGAACCTTAATTTGAAGCAGCTTAGGCAAAGGACGAGGGCTTCCAGGTTTATGGGCTCACGGAATCTGAGGAAAGGTTGAACAAACCAGAGAGGGGATACAGAGCTTCAGCAACAATGGCAACCAGGAGCTTGGAAGCTTTCATGACTCAGTTTCTCACCTCTGCTGCCTTTGGCAGGTCGGCTTCCTTTTCACAGGCTAGCTGGTTCCATACAGCAGGACACATGACTGTTGATAGCTCCTGTGTTTTACATTTTATGGCTTCCACACTGACGAGGGATTTTCTCTCAATTTCAGTTCAAAAAATTCTGGGTAAGGACTTTGACTGGCCGATCTTGGCCCAGGACCAGTATGGCAAAGGGTGTAAGGTCATTTAGGAAATACTATGCAATAGAATTATTTATGGAAACATGAAAAAGAAACAGAATGAGATCTATAACACAATATATCAATCATGTACATTTAAAATACACACATAAAACATTATATATTATGCAAAGATACATGTATATTTAAGGACATATACCAAGCACACTAAAGCCACTAAAGAAGGAGTAATGGGGCTGGAGAGATGGCTCAGAGGTTAAGAGCACTGGTTGCTCTTCCAGAGGTCCTGAGTTCAATTCCCAGCAACCACATAGTGGCTCACAACCATCTGTAATGAAATCTGGTGCTTTCTTCTGGCCTGCAGGTATACATGGAGACAGAGTGTTGTATACATAATAAATAAATAATTTTTAAAAAAAGGAGTAATGATAGATGACTGGGAACTGAAATGAGCAAAAAAAAAATGAGAAAGGCTTTGTTAATGACAGTGTGAACAAAAATACTATGATTACCTCAATTCTCTGCTTCTGATGGAAAACAGCAGTGTAAGAGGGAATGATGGAGGGGAAAACAAAACTAGTCTTGTGAGTAGGCCTTTTCAGAAGAAAAAGGGAGAGAGCTGGAGAGATCATGCAGGTTATCTTCTGACTTCCACATTTGAGCTCACACACAATAATGCAATTAAATTTTTGCTGAGATGGGGTCTCTCTATGTAGTCCTGGCTACCTCAGAACTCATTATATAGCCTAGGCTAGTCTGGAACCCACAGAGATCTGCCTGCCTCTGCATTCCAAGTGCTGGGATTGAAGATGTGCACTGCCATACACGGCTCCTATTTCTCTTTCTTTCCTTCTTTCTTTGTCTCTTCCTTGTGTGTGTGTGCACGCGCTCATGTGCAGGTGCCTGCAGAGGCCAGAATGTCCTACCCATTAGGAACTGAAGTTACAGGCAACTGTGAATCCCTTACATGGGTGCTAGAAACTGAACTTAAGTGCTCTGAAGAGTAAAAGTGCTCTTACCACTGAGCCATCTCTACAGTCTACTATTAGGTTTTTGTTTTGCCGGCTTTTGGGATCCTATTCCTCATACTGGGTTGCCTTGCCCAGTCTAAATACATGGCAAAGTGCTTAGTTTTACTAAAACTTGATATGCCATGTCTTGTTAATATCCATGGGAGGTCTGGCCTTTTCTCAACAGAAATGGAGGAGTTGGCCGGGCATTGGTGGCCCATGCCTTTAATTCCAGCACTCAGGAGGCAGAGGCAGGAAAATCTCTGTGAATTCGAGGCCAGCCTGGTCTACTGAATGAGTTCCATGACAACTCCAAAACAGTACAGAGAAACCCTGTCTCGAAATACTGGAAAAAAAAAAAAAGAAAAAAGAAAAAAGAAATGGAGGAGTTGATGGGGGATGGGAGGCAGAAGAGAGGTGGGGGAGAGGGACTGAGAGGAGAGGAGGGAGGAGAAACTGTGGTTGGGATGTAAAACAGATAGATGATAGAAAGATAGATAGATAAGACAGACAGATAGATAAAATTTCTTTTTGGCCATGAGTGTTCATGTGTATAGGTGTATTTATGTGCACATGAGTGTGAGTGAACTCTGAGTGACAGGAGCTATCCACCTTGGCTATAGTTTTTTTTTTTAATTTTTAAAAAAAGATTATTAATTTACTTCCGTGAGTGCATCATCTGCATGCATGCCTTTATTCCAGAAGAGGGTATCAGATTCCACTACAGGTGGTTGCTCTGAGCCACCATGTGAGAATTGAACTCATGACATCTAGAAGAGTAATCAGTGCTCTTAACTGCTAATCCATTTCCCCAGTCCCCCTAGTTTATTATTATAATAGTTTTTCACTGGGAATTGGGGTTTACTGTTTTTTTGTTTTTGTTTTTTGTTTTTTTGAGACAGGGTTTCTCTGTGGCTTTGGAGGCTGTCCTGGAACTCGCTCTCTAGACCAGGCTGGTCTCGAACTCACAGAGATCTGCCTGCCTCTGCCTCCCAAGTGCTGGGATTAAAGGTGTGTGCCACCAATGCCCGGCTGCTCTCTATTTTTTAATTTTCAACATTAATCTTGTGTGTTTATCTGTATGGTGCAAATATTCCTTTCGCACATGTATGGTGGTAAGAGGACAACATGGGGGAGTTGGTTTGGGGGATGAAGTTTATGAGGCTTGGTAGCAAAGCACTTTTACATGCTTAAATCAGCTTGTTATCACCTACCTTATTTAAAATTAAAAAAATATTGTTTATGTGTATTTTCTCCTCCTATTATGTAGGTTCTGCGAATTGAACTCAGGCTGTCACACTTGGAGGAAAAGGACATTTTGCCAGTACCCACTTCATTTTTTTTTTTTTTTTTGAGACAAGGCTTCTCACTGCATCTGAAGCCTGCCAGTCTGGCTGGACATGCTGGCCAGAAAGCCTCTGCGATGCACCTGTCTCCACTTCCCAGCAATGGGATTACAGGTGTGCACCATCATGCCTGGCTTTTACATGAGTTCTGCAGCTCTGAACTCAGGTCCCCATGACTGTTCAGCATTTATCCACTAAAACTTTTTTTTTTTTTTGGTTTTTCCGAGACAGGGTTTCTCTGTATTGTTTGAGAGGCTGTCCTGGAATTTGCTCTGTAGACCAGACTGGCCTCGAACTCACAGAGATCCACCTGCCTCTGCCTCCCAAGTGGGGGGATTAAAGACGTACGCCACCACCGCCCGGCCATTAAAACATTTCTCCACCCTCCGATTTTTAATTCCTAGAAACTGAATTCCTTTGTCTTCCGTTATCGGAATCTGCTTTGCTGTTTTTGTATTACCTATATACTATGTGACCAAATCCCTATTGAAAGAATTTAAAACATTACAGATACATACAGAGTTTTCCATTGTCTACTGTCAGAGCACCTGTTTTCTACTTTTGAGTGTTTGGCAGATATTCCACCTTTGTTTTGATGAAAGAATATAGAAATTTACATAAGCATAAACTTGTTTTTGCCATACATAGAACCATATCATATATATTGTTCTGTCAATCTCCCTCTGTCCTTTTAGACAGAGATTTCCCTGTCTCTACCCTGTCTCACTAGTGCCAGAACTAAAGGCATGCATATACCTGGCTCAGACTTTTAAAAATTGTATTTTGAGCCACAGTCTTCCTAAATTGCTAGCTTTGAGGTTGCAATTCTCTGGCTTTGGTGTCTTGAGTACTGGGATTACAGTCATTCACCACCAAGTTGGGAGTCTTTTTCATTGTTTTACTTGATACTTCATAAGTCCTTTAAATCTGAAAATTCAAAATTTCCCCATCAATCAGTTTAGTAGCTTTTCAGTCAGGCTGTAGTGGCCCATGCCTTTAATCCCAGTACTCAGGTGGCAGAGGCAGATGGATCCCTTTGAGTTTGAGGCTAGTCTGGTCTAAAGAGAGAGTTCTAGGAGAGTTAACAGCTATACAGAGAAATCCTGTCTTGAAAAACCAAAAAAAAAAAAAAAAAAGGTAGCTTTTCTTCTGTAATTTGACTGCTTCTCCTCCTCAGTCAGCTATTATGTTTTGGAATTTGTATTATTATATAATCACTAATCCTTATGTACTTGTGTTTTCTCTGAGTTCTGGTAAATTTCTCTTGAGTTCTGTTTTAATACTTAGAGGCTGCCTGGTCTGAATTAATTTGGCCATGGTTGTCCTAGGGAAGTTTTCTTCTTTCAAATTATTTTTTCTTCCTTTAAAAAAATGAAAATTGGCTCTTCCTGTAAGCGATCTGGGGTAACCTGTGAAGATGGTTCGCTACTCTCTTGACTCAGAAAACCCTACAAAATCATGCAAGCCAAGAGGTTCAAATCTCTGGGTTCACTTTAAGAATGCCTGTGAAACTGCCCAGGCCATCAAGGGTGTGCATATCTGAAAAGCCACCAAATACCTGAAAGATGTCATTTTGAAGAAGCAATGTGTGCCATTCCAGCGGTACAATGGTGGAGTTGGCAGGTACGCCCAGGCCAAACAGTGGGGCTGGACACAGGGTCGGTGGCCAAAAAAGAGTGCTGAATTTTTGCTGCACATGCTTAAAAATGCAGAGAGTAATGCTGAGCTTAAGGGGCTAGACGTAGATTCTCTGGTCATCGAGCACATCCAGGTGAACAAAGCACCTAAGATTCGTGGATGGATTTACAGATTACAGAGCTCACGGCCAGATTAACCCATACATGAGCGCCCCCTGCCACATGGAGATGATCCTCACGGAAAAGGAACAGATTGTTCCAAAGCCAGAAGAGGAGGTTGCACAGATGAAAAAGATATCCCAGAAGAAACTGAAGAAACAAAACCTTATGGCACGGGAATAAAATTCAGCATAAAATAAATGCAGATAAAAGTAAAAAAGAAAAAGAAAATTGTGGGGCTGAAAAGATTGCTCAGCGGTTAAGAACAAGTACTGCTCTTTTGGAGGACTAGACTTCAGTTCCCAGAACCCACAGCAGGTGGCTCATAACTGCCGGTAACTCTAGCTTCAGAGGGAATCCAATGCCCCTTGGCTTCCTCAGGCACCTGCACTCATGTGTATGTATGCATACACAGACACATACATGTAATTAAAAATGAGACAAATCTTAAAGAAAAAAACCATGACTATAGACTGGAAAATAAATGAATAAATATTGAGGCCATGATATAATTCAGTCAGTAGGATGCTTGTTCAGTAAGTACTAGATCCTGGTCTCAATTCCCAGAATAATGTCAACCTGACACATCAATATAGGGCCACATCTGTAATCCCATCTTTTAGGAGATGGAAATAAGAGTGTTAGAAATAAGGTTATCCTTGGTTACATGATGACTTCAAGACCAGCCTGGAAACCATAGATCTTGCCTCAACAAAAGCAAACAAAATCAAATAATTTTCAAACTGTTATCTTAAACTGGAAAGTAGATTACCTGCCCCCACTCCCCCATGTTGGCTTTCAACTGGATATGTAGCCAAGGGTGACCCTGAATTTCTAGTCCTTCTCCGTGTATTTTGCAAGTGCTGGGATTACAGGCTTCTGTCACCACACTTAGTGTATGTGGTATTAGGAATGCTTTTCTTTCTTTCTCTTTTTTTTTTTGGTAGGATCTCATGTAAACCACGATGGCCTGGAACATAACCAAGGATAACCTTAAACTCTGGAGTCTTTTTTTTTTTGTTTTTTCTAGACAGGGTTTCTCCCAAGTGCTGGGATTAAAGGCGTGTGCCACCACTGCCTGGCCTAAATTCTGGATTCTTGTTGTTCATTTTACTAAGCATTGTCCACACCCCTAGAGTATGTACTGCCTAAGCTAGTTTGGAAATCATATCTTCCTGTATTAGCACCCAAAGTCAAGGGATTAGAAATGTGTGATACCATAACTTGTTTCAAGTTAGGGTTTACAATTTTTTCCTGTTATTGCTTTTACACAGGTCTTATTATATAGCTTTAAGCTGGAATAGAATTCACTTATGTAGACCATTTGAATTTGAAGAGATCCTCCTGCTTCTGTATTCCTGGTGCTAGAATTATGGGCATGTGTTACCATGTCTGGTTCCTGTTTTGGAAACAGGATCTCATGTACTTTAGTTTGGCCTTGACCTCAATGGTAGAGGCCAGCCTTGGACTTTGAACTTCCTCCCTAGTGCTGGAGTTACAGGCATGTGCCATCATGCCAGGATCTCAAATCACTTTTTATATTTCCCATTTCTCTCAAATCTTTGGGCAAAGGCTGCCATTTGCTCTGGCTACTTGAGTTATACCCCTTCTTTTGAGCTGCTGAGACATTTCCCAGGCATTGTATTTCTTTTCTGATGGCAAAATATCTGTCATATAACAGGAACTTAATGAGTTATATCAGGATCAATTCTTTTATACTATGACCAAGGAATAGCTGGCTACTATTTTTTGAGAACTAAAATCCTAGTGAAGGAGCAACAGTTGGAAAGGCAGCCTTTGGGTAGGAAGTTTCTCCACCCCAGTTTTTAATAGGCATTAATAATGTACCAATCTTCTAGTCTAATTAACTTTTGTTTCTTTTGGGGGGGACAAGTGGGACAAGGTCTTCTAGTATATTGCCCTGACTGGCCTCAAATGTGCTATGCTGCCCAGGCTGGCCTTGAACTTACAAGCCTCCTGCTTCAGCCTCTCAAATACTATGAATATAAGAATGAACTATCTCTACCAGCCTCAGTGAATTTTAAAGATGTAAAGACGAAAGTGGGAAGAATAAATCTGAGTTATAAAAAAGTAATCAAAAATTTTCAGTGTTAAAGAAATTCCCAGGTCGATAATTTCCGTTTTACTTCCACATGATCCCCTCCAGTAGGTCTTAGGGATGAACTTTGTCATGGACTTTGATACAACCAATTGTTTACACGAGGTAATTTACTTCTTCCGTTCTCTGAGATTAAGTTAATCAGAAATGGAGATAATAAATAATTATTGTTAAAAGATCTTTAAGTTCCACAATCCAGGCCTATGATAAGGAGACTTGGGCCTAAAATGATCGAAGAGGCCGGATTATAGGATGTCTCGGTCAACCCGAGCCCTAGACCAAAAGCAGTGTCATCTATAGCCATCATAGCAATACCGGCAACCCTAGGTGCGAATGCCCACCTGGCGTGGGCGAGCCACACGTGCCCTTGCCTCACCTCACCTGCCGGGCGCAGCACCTCCACCTCCAAGACTCAGCGTACCTTCCAGCGATGCGCCTCTGCGCAAGCGCACGCGCACACGCTGCTCTAAGGCCTGAGCGCAGGCTCTGGCATGACCCTAGTCAAAGTGCTGGTTGCTTTTGCTCCCAATGCGGCCACCGTCGTTTGGGGAGGGAAACAGGAGGGGGCGGGGAAAAGGGTGGGAGTGGGTGAGCGCGCGCCGCCCGTCCGTCGTGGTTTCCTGGCTGCGCGCGGCGGTAGTAGAGTCGCAGCAGCTGTAGCAGCCGCCGCGAAGATGGCGGAGGGGTTGGAGCGTGTGCGGATCTCCGCGTCCGAGTTGCGAGGGATCCTGGCCACTCTGGCTCCGCAGGCCGGGAGCAGAGGTGAGTTGCGCCGCCCAGCTGCTGGGCCGGGCCTGCCCGCCCCGCCTCCCTCTCCTCTGCCTCCTCCCCGCCCCGTCCGTGGCGCTCCGAGCCCCCGCCCCTTCCCCCAACAGTGCACCCCCCGGCCTGAGGCGGCCGCCCTGACTCGGCGGGGCGGGTTCTCCGCTCACTGGGGCCTTTGGGGTATAGCCCAATGCGAGTTCCTGCCACCGCCTTCTTACTCACCGCGGCGGCCGTGGTTGTCCCCCCTTGCCCCAGCCCTCTCATGCCGGCGCCCCTGGATTCAGTCGTGAGGAGACACGAACTGGCGTGGGTGCTGGGGTCCGGTAGAGGCCCCGGGACATATCTCTCTCTCCCTAAAGAATCGTCTGTGTACCTTCCGTAGTCCTCGCGTCCGAGAGTTGGAGCTGGGGAAATTGAGGAGAAAGGCTTAACAGGCTGGGACTTCCCTTCCTCAACTCTCTCTGCCCCGCCCCCCACATGCAGGTTTCCAATGGTACGCCAGTAGAGGGATCCCGGACCTCTGGGAGGTGATGTTTGTTTTGGTCTTGGTGTGTATAAGAGCAGTGTGAGCAGAGAGAGAATGCTTAATTTGCCAGTTTCCATAAGCATCAGAAAAGCTTGCAAAACATATTAGTGCCTCATCTTCCCTTCATTAGTCAGTGTTGTTTAGGATGACTTATAGATTGTGGCTAGAATCTGTGAGGTTAGGTTTCATTGGCCAACTGAATTGGATTAACCAGGCTGTTTTCTTTGACTGCTCTGGAAAATAGTAGTCACCACCTCCCCTGACTCCGCCCCCAAACTAAGTTTAAAAGTTTACCGAGTGCTGAGGTTAAACGGCTTTATCTTGGTTCATATTTGGTGGAGAGGGTAAACTTTTGGCAACTTTTGTTTCTCTTTTGAGACCGAATCTCTCACCATGTAGCCAAGACTGGCCTTGAACTTACTGTGTAACCCTGCCTGGCCTTGAGTTTGGGACGCTTCTCCTGAGTGCTGGAATTACAGGCATGGGCCACCACACCCAACTTCCAAAGCAGTGTCTAAAATTTCAGTGTCACTTCATTTCCTTTCTCTTCGCCTCTCCCCCAACTAATAATCGTGTGTGTTTATAATTAGGTACTGGGATTTTGTATAACTTGAGCACTGGATAAATTCTTACCGTTTCCTCTTTCTTATTAAACATGTATTAATTCTTTGTAATAGTCTCTCCACTCTAAGCTACAGATACTTAACGAAACAACCCCGTTTACCGTTTAGTAAGTTCATGAACTTTGGAAAGTCCTTTGTTTTTTGAGTCAGGATCTCATATAGCCCAAGTAAATCTCTGACTCTTTGTAGCTGAGGACGGCCTTGAACTCCAGATCTTGCTGTCACTTCCCAAGTGCTAAGATTTGTAGGCATGAATTTGACTGGGCTCTAGTATTCTTGAGTCCCTTAGTCCTTTGGTGCTTTGAGAGCATGTCACAATCCTTCCATTGGTACCTAGGAAAAGCTCCTCTAATGGAACTTTTTTCCCCTTATATTCTATCATCATAGTAGCATTTAGTCTCAGTATTCTAGGCAGTATTTTCTTGAAATGATTCTGCTGGTTGTTGTTAAAGAGTTGGTGAGGATGAGTGGAGTTGAAGATTATAAAGGGAACTGCTTCCTGCTTGCTTCAGTAGGCGGTATGTGATTGAGGTATAGGTATTCTAAAGTTGTAGATTTGCCTTGGTCAAGTTCACACACTGTAGTCGCAGATAATTTTCCCAGGGATATCTAGGACTGGGTTGTTATACATACCCCCTTAAATGTGTATGTTTACATATGTAATGTAGTAAGTAAATATATGATGTAGTATATGATACATATATACCAGTAAATATATTTATGCAATGCTGAGGATTGCCCCTAGTGGCCTCCTGTATGCTAGGCAAATGCTGTACCACTGAGCTATATTCCCTGCCTCCCTCCTAATATGGCAAAATAATTTAGCCAGCCTAGAAAAATGTTACAGACAGGAGGAAAGACTAAACCAGGTGTGATTATATACTTCTGCAATCCCATAACTTGGATTGCCGAGGCAGGAGGACTGTGGGGTTGACATCTTTCTGGGCTGTTTAGTGAGACCCTGACTCCAAAAACGAAAGAAAGAAAGGAAGAAGAAAGGAAAGAGAGTTTGCTAATAGGCTATATAGACAGGATAGTTTAATGTCTGAACATGTTCAAGATCCTTGATTCTGATATAATGAAGTGGTTTGGGGTCTTTGAGATCTGAATATAAGTATGACTTGAGTAGGTCAAGAGAATATTACCCCCATTTCCATAAGTCAAGTGCATATAACTATAACACAGTTAAATTCCTAGGCTCACTGGTTACTGAACACATAACTCCCAATTTCAACCTTTGTAGAAACATTCTTCCCTGCCCACCAGTGCTAGTATATGGATATGTAATTCTTGCTCATTTTTGTAGTGGTGATGGCTATGTAACTATAATGACAACTTTTCTTCCTTCTTTTCTCCATTATTCTTTTCTTCTGTGTTGTTTCCTCCTATCAACAATCCTAGAAAACATGAAGGAATTAAAGGAACCCAGGCAGCGCAAAGATAATAGGCGCCCAGATTTGGAAATCTATAAACCTGGACTTTCTCGACTAAGGAACAGACCTAAAACTAAGGAGGCTCCTGGGAGTGAGGAATTTAAGGATGAGATTGTAAATGACAGAGATTCTTCTGTTGGGAATGATTCACAGCTTATTAAAGTTTGCAAGGACTTGGACAGCCAACAGCAAAATGGCCCTACAGATCCAGAAAATCATCAGGCACAGGAGACTTTCTCAAAGACTGTTGGACTGGAGGACCGGAGTCTAAGAATCATTAAGAGAATAAAGAAACCTGACCTGCAGATCTATCAGCCTGGGAGGCGTCTGCAGGCCATAACCAAAGAGTCAGCTAGCAGGGCAGATGAGGAAGAAATCCTTAACCAAGTGGAACAATTGAGGATTGAGGAGGATGAGTGTAAGGGAAAAGTTGTAAAAGAAGAAGTCGTAAATAAGCCAGACAAAACTGAGGCAGAAAAGAACCAAACTAATGACCGAGTAAAAGCTGCCAAGGGAGAAAAGGGAAAAAAGATTGAAAAGGGGGAGGGGACAAAGAAGGTGAATGATGACTCTGTCCAAGGGAAACCTGGTTCTGTAAAGCGGTACTCCCGGTCAGACAAACGAAGGAACCGCTACCGGACTTGCAGTACCAGCTCAGCTGGTAGCAACAACAGTGCTGAGGGAGCTGGTCTGACCGATAATGGATGTCGCCGGCGGCGCCAGGATCGGACCAAGGAGAGGCCACGACTGAAGAAGCAGGTATCTATGTCTTCAACTGATTCCTTAGATGAGGACAGAGTTGATGAGCCTGATGGATTAGGGTCCAGGAGGAGCTCAGAAAAGAAGAAGCATTTAGAAAGAAATTGGTCTGGCCGAGGCGAGGATGAACAGAAAAGCAATGGTAAAGAAAACCGAGGCACCCTTCGAGTAACTTTTGATGCTGAAACCATGAGTAAAGATTCCCCCGTGGTGAGCTCAGCCAGGGAGAATGTGGAAAGAATGAAGTCTGACAAAGGCCCCAGCAGTGGGGGCAAGGACTCTGAGAAGCAGGAGTTCAAAAATCCGAAACAAGAACTTCGAGGTCGTGGTCGTGGCATTCTGATTCTGCCTGCCCATACTGCCCTATCTGTCAGTTCAGCCGGTTCTCCAGAGTCTACACCTTTGGGACCTCGACTTTTATTTGGATCTGGTAGCAAGGGATCTCGGAATTGGGGACGTGGAGGCACTACCCGCCGATTATGGGACCCAAACAATCCTGATCAGAAGCCTGCTCTGAAAAGCCAGACACCCCAGCTACATTTCTTGGACACTGATGATGAAATCAGCCCCACATCTTGGGGTGATTCACGTCAGGCCCAAGCATCTTACTATAAATTTCAAAACTCTGACAACCCCTATTATTACCCTCGGACACCAGGCCCTACCTCTCAGTATCCCTATACAGGCTATAGCCCTATGCAATACCCAGTGGGTCCTGCAAATGGTATGTATCCAGGGCCTTACTACCCAGGCTATCCTGCCCCTTCAGGACAGTATGTATGTAGTCCTCTCCCTGCCAGCACCATGAGTCCTGAGGAGATAGAGCAGCACATGCGGAACATGCAGCAACAGGAGCTACATAGACTTCTCCGAGTGGCTGACAACCAGGAATTGCAGCTTAGCAACCTGCTTTCCAGGGACCGAATCAGTACTGAGGGCATGGAGAAGATGGCTCAGCTCAGGTATTGTGTATGCTTTCCTACTAAGTTACTTAGAGAGAAATGGACAGCAGAAGGCTCCCGTGGCTGAGGGAGGTAGAGACTTCTTAGGTAAGCCACTGAGTGTTACCTCCCTTTCACAGGGATCCCTGCCCCTCCCAGTTCCACTTGGGCTGGGGCATCAAGCTGAGAGCCTGGTACATCTTGGAATAAGTGCCCTACCACTGAGCCACACTTTAAGCCCCTTTACACTGATACTTATAAGGAACAGGTAGTTGGGAAAATAAGTTTTATTTCTAGTCTTAGAAGTAAGTATACTTTTGACTTTAAGGGGGGGAAACATGTCTTTAAGGGAACATAGGATTTCCAGAGGGCCAATTTCCAGCATGCACTAAAGAGCGTCTTTCAGTGTAGGTGTGCACATATGGGAACATGCTCTTTTCCTAGGTGTAAATATCTTTGGAATGGCATTCTGTTGTGCAGAATAGAACCCAGTATGAGTAGGATACCTGGTTACATGTCAGATTTCTTGTAAA